TCATATTTCCATCCCGACGAGACCGGGCACGCTCATCCGGGACTTCCCTTCTCCGCCTCGTCCCACGCCCTCCTCGACAGATGGTCCGAGTTTGCTCGCTTGAGGAACTGCCTCTCCCTTCCTCGCCGTTTTCCTCAACCTCTCTTTCTCTTTTCCGTCCTCTCTCTTTCTTTTTCTTTGCCTCTCCTTCCTTCCTTCCTTCTTTCTTCTTCCTTCCTTCCTTCTTCCTTCTTCCTTCCTTCCTTCCTCCTTCCTCCTTCCTTCCTCCCTTCCTTCCTTCCTTCATCCCTCCTCTCTCTCTCTCTCTTCCGTTGTCTCTCTTCCGAGGACAAGTTCTCTCCTTATGGAATCAATACCCCATTGTTCGCGCCGATGATGGTGAGCTTCAAACTTTTTCCTCTTCGTGTTTTTTCTTCGTCTTCCTCTTTCTCTTTTTTTCCCAACTCTCGCTTTGTCTTTTACGCGACCCTTTCTCTCTCATCCCTCTTTGCCTTCTGCCCTTCTTTCACCGAAACTTGTCCCTCGAAGTTTACCTGGGAAAAATGGACTCTATTGCACAGACTGCTCATGGCATTGTGTGTGTGTGTGTGTGTGTGTGTGTGTGTGTGTGTGTGTGTGTGTGTGTGTGTGGTGTGTGTTGTGTGTGTGTGTGTATGTGTTAGTGTGTGGATTCATGTTGAACGGATTGCAACAGGAACAACGAAGGGAAGGGCAAGAAAACACACGAATATGCCGAAGGCCTTTTCACTATTGCTTCGTCAGGGTATATGTCCTGACGAAGCAATAGCGAAAAGGCCTTCGCATATTCGTGTTTTCTTGCCTTCCCTTCGTTGTTCCTGTTGCAGTGTGTGTGCGTGCATGCGTACGTGCGTGCGTGCGTGCGTGCGTCCGTGCATGAATGCGTGCGTGCGTGCGTGCGTCCGTGCATGATGCCGTGCGTGCGTGCATCCGTGCATGAATGCGTGCGTGCGTGCGTGCGTCCGTGCATGAATGCGTGCGTGCGTGAGCAAGGGCGCGAGTGCCTGCAAGCCGGCGCCCGCCGCCCCCCGTGTCATCCGGCCCGCACTCGGCACTCGATCAGCTGCTCATAATGTTCTCCGGCGCGATAATGGCTGTTTGCTCCTCCTCGCGGCCGCCGCTCGCCCGCGCTCATATCAGCCGCGCTTTGTAATTTACGGACTCGCTGCCTCTCCCCTCTTCCTCTCCCTCTCCTCTCCCCCTCCCCTCGCTCTCGCCTCTCGCTCCCTCCCCCTCCTCCCCCTCCCTCCCTCCTCTCCCTCTCCCTCCTCCTCCCTCTCCCTCCCCTCCTCCTCCTCCTCCCCTCTCCCTCTCCTCCTCCTCCTCCTCCTCCTCCTCCTCCCTCCTCCTCTCTCCTCTCCTCCTCTCCCTCCTCCTCTCCCTCCTCCTCTCCTCCCCCTCCTCCTCCTCCTCCCCCTCTCCTCCCCCTCCTCCTCCTCCTCCTCCTCCCTCTCCCTCCCCCTCCCCTCCCCTCCCCTCCCTCCCCTCCCCTCCCCTCCCCTCCTCCTCCTCCTCCTCCTCCTCCTCTCCCTCCTCTCCTCTCCCTCTCCCTCTCCCTCTCCCTATACACACCCGACTCTACCTCGCTGAGACGGACACTCTTTGTCACTCAATAAAAGAAAAAAAAAGAAAAAAAAACGATTAGACACCAAAAAGCACTCTCCTGATCAATCAAAAAAAAAAAAAAAAAAAAAAAAAAAAAAAAAAAAAAAGGGAAAAAAAATACACACACCAAAAAGGGCCTTCGTGATCACTCAAAAAGAAGAAAGAAAAAAAAAAAATTACACCCACCAAAAAGGCACTCGATCACTCAAAAAAAAAAAAAAAAAAAAAAAAAAAAAAAAAAAAAAAAAGCACTCCATCACTTAAAAAAAAAAAAAAAAAAAAAAAAAAGGCACTCCCGATTACTCAAAAAAAAAAAAAAAAAAAAAGGACCAAAGGGCACTCCAGTCACTCAAAAAAAAAAAAATAAGTGAATATGGAGAACAATTACAGGACATGATTTGCATTTTCCATACACTGATTTCGACTTTTACGATCTGTCACTCCTCCTCCTATCCCCCCCCCTCATACCCCCTGCGCGCACACACACACACACACACACACAAACACACACACACACCACACACACACACACACACACAACACACACACCACACACACACACACACACACACCACGCACGCGCATGAACATCGCATGCCCACAACCATGAACAACCGCATGCGCACAAACACAAAAAAAAACAGTGGCAGAGGCATTCTCATTCTCCCTCTTTCCTTTCCCCTCTTCCTTTTTCTTCATTACCCTTCTCTCCATTTCTCTCTTCCTCCTCCTCGTCCTCCCTCCCTTTCTCCCTCTTTCTCTATCTCTCCATTTCCCTCTCCTCCTCCTCGTCCTCCCTCCCTTTTCTCCTCATTCTCTATCTCTCCATTTCCCTCTTCCCCTCCTTTCTCCTCATTCTCTATCTCTCCATTTCCCTCTTCCTCCCCTCGTCCTCCTCCCTTTCTCCCTCTTCTCTATCTCTCCTTTCCCTCTCCTCCTCCTCGTCCTCCCTCCCTTTCTCCCTCATTCTCTATCTCTCCATTTCCCTCTTCCTCCCTCCCTTTCTCCCTCATTCTCTATCTCTCCATTTCCCTCTCCCTCCTCCTCGTCCTCCCTTCCTTTCTCCCTCATTCTCTATCTCTCTATTTCCCTCTTCCTTCTCCTCGTCCTCCCTCCCTTTCTCCCCCATTCTCTATCTCTCCATTTCCCTCTCCCTCCTCCTCGTCCTCCCTTCCTTTCTCCCTCATTCTCTATCTCTCTATTTCCCTCTTCCTTCTCCTCGTCCTCCCTCCCTTTCCTCCCCNATTATCATTACTGTTATCATCATCACTTATCACTTTATTACCATTATTATCATTATAATCAGAAAAATATTTTATCATTAATAATTTTTTCTTCACTATCAATATTGTTATTATCCATATTCAGCATCATCTTTATCTTATTTTTTCTTTATCATCTTTATCTTATTTTTTCTTTATCATCTTTATCTTATTTTTCTATATCATCTTTATCTTATTTTTTCTTTATCATCTTTATCTTAATCTTATTTATCTTTATCATTTCTATCTTATTTTTCTTTATCTTTATCTTATTTTTCTTTATCTCTTATTTTTCTTTACCTTTATCTTATTTTCCTTTATCATTTTTATCTTTATCTTATATTTCTTTATCATTTCTATCTTATTTTTCTTTATCTTGTTTTCTTTATCATCTCTATCTTATCTTTCGTAATCTGATTTTCCTCTATCATTATCTTATTTTTCTTTATCATCTTTATCTTATCTTTTCTTTACCTTCTTTATCTTATTTTTCCTCAACAAAAATTAGTACATAAGATGGAAGAAGAAAAACCCGACAAGAAACTTAACAAACACTTTATTGGAAAAGTCAGCTTATTACTATGTACAACAAGACAAAATCAACAACAACAACAACAACTATATTTGCAGTCTCTTGTCCTGTCTATTCTTTACGGTTTACAATTTTGACCTGCAAAATGTAACTGAAAACAACTCGAAAGGTTTCTACTTACAAATAAATATGCTTGTAATAAATAACAACGGATTATTAGTAAGAATAAAAATAAAATGGAATAAAAAGTAAATGAGAAATTGTGACGTTAAAGAAATTGTCCTTAATATTTTGGATTATTTGAAGTGACTGAAAAACTCAAACTATTTTGGCAAATATGCATAATCTTGGATACAAATGGATAAGATTTGCATAAACAGACAGTATACATCCTCGGGAGAAGCGGATCCTCTAAACAAACATTCACATTCTCCAGAAAAAAAATAATAAAAAATCACACACCAAAAAAAAAGAAAAAAAAAGTTAAATGAAAACAAAAGTGGAAAAAAAGAGTTGAAATCCAAAGAGCCAACGCGTTTCCACAGACAGTCAGAGTCACTTCGTACCAAAGGTCCTTGATTCACAGAACTGTCTTGAACTGGTCTACTGATACACTACTAAGTCTTTGGTCGCTGATGTCATGACAGAATCGAGAATGAAGTGTCACCCGTTTTGGAGAGAAAGCAGGAGTTGGGATAGCCGGAGAAACACACAGGATGAGATGGCTTGACTAAACGGTCTTGTGTCGATAAGAGAGTCGAGAGAAGATGACACGAGGGTTGGCATGCGTGTGTGCATGTGGCTGGTACACGCGCAAGCATGTGTACTCACACGTATGCATGCATTCATGTGTATGTATGTACATATATAAGCATATATAGATAAATATACCCATACATACACACATACATACAACATATATATATATATATATATATATATATATTATATATATATATATATATATATATATATATATAATATATAATATATATATACATATTTAACCAACTTACACAGGCATATGAAAGGGGCTGTATACATGAAAACATATGCACCCTGTAAAAGCATCGCTTGACAGCTGAAGTATGAAATCCATGACAGTTTACAAAAAATGCAGTGAGGTAATTACAAAAATATGAGCTGGAGATTAAAATAAAAGGCGTTTGGACTTTACGAAGAACAGCGAATCATGAAAATGAAAAAGGAAAACAAGAAAGATCATTAGAAGAGGACGGATTGTTCCTGTTCAGGTCGAAAACTTGATAAAAATGAAAAGAAGAAGAAAAAAATGAATATATGAAAAAGTATCAACCATAATCCATAACAACATTTTTTTTTTTTCTTTCAATCCACCTTTTCTTCTCGCAATAAAAGAAAAACAGAATAAGAATTTTTTGAAAATACAGATTAACAGTCCTCGAGTCGCTGTCAACTGGTCAGCGAGTCACCGTTGAAGAGAGAGAAAGAGAGAAAAAAAAGAAAAAAAACGAAAAAAAAAAAAAATCCCGATGCTCTTCTGTTTCTTCCATCCCCTCTTCCCTCTATAGGTCAGTTCGTGCTGCAGTTATTTCCCTTTTTTTTTCCTTTTCCTTTCCGTTTTTTTTTTCCTCGCCGAACGAAAGCTTATAGAAATTCGCTCTTTGAGTACTGGTTATAAGCGTCTCCGTCATCGAACTGAAGATCGTGGTCACTGCAAAGACAGGGAGAGAGGGAGGAGAGGGACGAAGCCCAGATTAATACGTGGCTAAAACAATATTGAGGAATTAGGAGGGGATACGTAAGTAAAAAAATGATGATGATAAAGAGGAATTTGGGAGGGATACGTAGCTAAAATAATAATGAGGAAATGGGAGGGGATACGTGCTAAAACAAATAATGAGGAATAGGGAGGGGATACGTGGCTAAAACAATATGAGGAATTAGGAGGGGATACGTAAGTAAAAAATAATGAGGAATTGGGAGGGGATACGTAGGTAAAAAAAAAAATTGTGAGGAATTAGGAGGGGATACGTGGCTAAAAAAATAATATTGAGGAATTAGGAGGGGATACGTAGCTAAAAATAGTGAGGAATTAGGAGGGGATACGTAAGTAAAAATATTATATGAGGAATTGGGGGGGATACGTGGATAAAAAAATATTGAAGGATTTGGAGGGGATACGTAGCTAATAATATTGAGGAATTAGGAGGGGATACGTAGCTAAAAAAATAATATTGAGGAATTAGGGGGATACGTAGCTAAAAAGATAATAATGATAAAAAGGAATTCGGAGGGGATACGTAGCTAAAAAATGAGGAATTGAAGGGGAACGTGGTTAAATAAAGATGAGGAGTTGGGAGGGAATAAGTAGTTAAAATATAATAATAATGAGAAATTGAAAGGGAATACTTGGGTATATAAAAATAATGAGGAATTGAGAGGGAATACGTGGCTACATGAAAATGAGCAATTGGGAGGGGATACGTGGCTAAATAAAAATAAGGAATTGGGAAGGGGATACGTGGCTAAACAAATAATGAGGAGGGGATACCAGGCTAAATAAAAATGAGGGATTGGGAGGGGATACGTTGCTAAATAAATAATAATGGATTAATAGGGGATGTATAGAAATTAACAATAAGCAGTTAATGAGGGATACATGTCTAATCAGATAATATGGAATTGACAGGGATACGTGGATAATCAATTAATGAGGAACTAGAAAGGAATACGTGGGTAATAAAATAATAAAGAATCAAAAAGGGATACGTGGGTAATCAATTGATAAATAATGGATAGGGTATAAGTGGGTAATTAATCAATGGGGAATTGATAAGGGATACGTGCTTAATTAATCAATAAGAATGTAGGGATGTATGGCTCATTAATTGATGAAACTGACTATTGAAAGGATAAAAAATCATAGGGATCCATGGTTACTGAATTTATGAATAGATTATTAGGGGATACGTGCCTAATATACTAATGAGAAATCCATAGGGGATACATCACTAACTAATTAATTGGAAATACACGATAATTAAGAATTATTGCATATCAAAAGATTTTAGGTTCGTTTAATTTTCATTTTAATATTGCAATCTACTGTTTAGTGCATCTTAAGAAGAATTTAATTCAATTCAAAAGATTTATGATTTTAAATTTTAAAAAATATATCACACATTTGTTTACTTATGACTAAGCATAGAAATAAGAGAACATGCTTGACTAATACATGGACTAGATACTTATATACATGAACGTAAGTGACACATACATTGCACAAAACAAATAAACAAACAGACAGACATAAAACAGGAACATGCATCACTCACATGACATATAAGAAAAAATAATTATACACACACGCACACACAAACCACACACGTATACACGAACGCACACACACACGCACACTCATGCATTAAACAGACACACCACGCAACACACTCATGCATTAATACACACACACACACACACGCCACACACACAACATACACAACAAATTCAAACACACACACCCTATACAGACACACACCCACACACACATTCACTCGCGACAACAAAGGGACAAACAACTTCTCAAGATCGTGGAAATGATGTCGTGCGGGTATTGTGCAAGCTAATTTCGCCTTTAAGGACACAACGCGGGTATCCAGACCTTCAACCAGTCAGTCATTCAGTCAGCAAGTCATTCAGTCAGCAAGTCAGTCAGTCAGTCAGTCAGTCAGTAAGTCAGCAAGCCAGTGAGCTAGCCAGTCAGTCATCCAGCCAGAAAATCAGTCAGCCAGTCAATCATCCAGCCAGAACACCAGTCAGTCAGTCATCCAGCAACTAAGTCATTCAGTCAGTCAGTCATTCCGTCATCCAGTTATTCAGTCAGCAAGTCAGTCAGCCAGACACTCAGCAAGTCAGCAAGCCAGTGAGCTAGCCAGTCAATCATCAAGAACACCAGTCAGTCAATCAGTCATTCAGTCAGTCAGTCAGACAATCAGTCATCCAGCCAACCAATAAGTCAGTCAGTCATCCAATCATTCAACCAACCAGTCCGTCAGTCATCCAGTCAGTCATTCATCGTCAGACAGTCAGTCATTCATTGTCAGACAGTCATTCAGTCAGTCAATCAGACAGGCAGTCATCCAACCAACCAACGTCAGTCATCCAGTCAGGCAGTCAGTCAATCAGCCAGTCAATCAGTCAGTCAGTCATCCAGCCAACCAAGTCAGTCAGCCACCCCAGTCATTCAGTCAGTCAATCAGTCAGTCAGTCATTCATTGTCAGTCATCCAGTCAGCTTATCGAGGTGTGTGTGTGTGGATGCTGCCTCTTGGATCCCACTGCCGAGGGCTCGTGGGTGTCGGAGTTCTCGCACCCAGTTCATCTTGCAAGTTTGCAATGCTCGGGTGACAGAAGGGAGAAAGCTAATAATAAGGATGATAAACATATATTTTTTTTCTATTTACATATTCTCTTCGGTCGGGGTGGTGTGGGGTGGTGGTGGGGGTGGGTGGGGGGAGTTTTATGCAACTTTTATGCGTCTTGGGAAAATATTTCGTTAAAGCTCGAGTGGGAATTTTCCAGGAATAAAAAAAAAAATGTGTATATGAAGTTACAGGTATTCTTCTTAACATTATTATTTTGCGACCTACATGTAAAATTCTTTGGTCAACACCTTTTGTTATCGTGTATATTCGAGAAATGTCTAAATGATGATGGGTATATATGTATATATTGCACGCACACACATACACATACACACTCACACATACCTGTATGCATACACACACACAAACACACAACACACAACGCACACACACACACATATACACACTCACACATACCTGTATGCACACACACACACCACAGAAACACACACACACACACACACACACGCACACACACAACACACACACACACACACACACACACATACAGACACAGACATACATACATACAAACACATATATTCCCATCTGAATGCAAATGACATCCCAGGGTCAGCACTTCCCCGAGGCGCAGAAAAGGTCAATTCCAAACGAAAAGACCTGTAATTCTCGCCCAAAAGTGCTGCCAGAGGTCAATATTTCCGGCTCATGTTGCAGCGATTTTTTTTTCTTCTCTTTGCAATGGATTCCCGAGTGGATTACGCCCCCCCGCCCCCACCTTCTTTAGGTCAGGCATTTAGAAACGTCAGCTGTGTTTCGGAAACGTTCATAGTCATTGAAAAATAGTCGGTATGAATTAATTGACGTTGATAATGATTTTGAAAACCTAACGTTGATTCTGAGGTGTTGACAATATTCTTTTTTTTTTAATGCTAATAATAATTCATAAACGTTGATAATAATTTAGAGACGTTATTAGCAATACAGAAATGCTTACAGTTATTCAAAAGCACTTCAGAACCGTTCAAAATATTTCATAAACGTTTAGCAACAATCCATAAACGTTAAAATCACAAACATAAAGATTTTTTTTCTAAACACCAACAAAATCAGAAACGTTAATAACAATGCAAAAACGTTTACAGAAATACAAAAACGTTCAACACTAATTCACGAACTAATCCATTCTAAAAAAAAACGTTTAGCAATTGTCTCACAAACGTTAACATCAATTCAAAAAACATTTTATCCGATACTCGACATGTTAACTTTGAATTTATATGTATATCCATATTTTTTTCGTCACGTAAAAGCCCATTACTTTCCGTTTTTTTTTTTTTTTTTTTTTTTTTTTTTTTTTTTTTTAATCCCTCACAGCATAAGGCAGATACAGAACGATAATGTTCATCGAGCGAACACCCCGGGGGTTTAATTCTACCTCAGCACTGTATCCTAGGGTAAAATATCCTTCTGTAATTATGGGAACTAATAGGGACCTGGGATTGAACACGTATACATACACACACACATACCTTTCTGTGTGCGTGTGTGTTTTTGTCTTTTTTGGTTGTGTGTGTGTGTGTGTGTGTGTGTGTGTTTGTGTGTGTGTGTGTGTGTGTGTGTGTGCGGGTGTGTGTGTGTGTGTGTGTGTGTGTGTGTGTGCGTGTGTGTGTGTGTGCGTGTGTGTGTGTGTGTGTGTGTGTGTGTGAAACAATTCAACAAGTAAAAACACAATAACATAATACAAACACGAAACTACCGGAAAAAAACAACACACACGAGACAAAAACAGATGAAAACAACAACAAGAGAAACAAAAAACAAACAAACACATCACGCAAAACAAGATAACACGAGCAAAACACCCAAAGTACAGGAACAAACACTTCAAAACACGACACACAACACAAGTTCTACAACGATGAAGTTTATGAACTATTGTGCTAAAAGAATGTTTACTGAAGCAATAGTCTTTATTTTTATTTTCATTATTACTACTACGTTTATCATTATTATTACTATTATCATTATCATAATAATAATTATCATTATTATTATTACCATTATCACTATTATCATTATTATTATCATTATCATTACCATCATTATTACTATTACATTATTATCACCGTTATCCTTATTATTACTATCACTACTACTATTATACTATCATGATCATATCTTCATTATCAATATTACCATTACATCTTATACCAGACTATTTGTGTGTCTGGTATAAGTCCATATCTTGATTTCATATTTTTCAGACAGGTTAAAGAATAGATAAACTGATAAATAAACTGCTGCACTTCAAATCTAACAAAAAAATATTGAGGACGAAAAATTGCTCTATATCTTTTAAAATCAAAATATCTTTTCGTCGCTAATTTGTCTGTCCTTCTTAGCATCCTCTGGGTCTTTGTCAATTTCTGTCATGTCAGCCTGTTCTAAATATATATAAATGCGTAAAATATGCGATGTATTTTACGTAAGAAAGAGACTGAATTCGATACGTTATTATTATATTTTGTTTTATTATTATTATTATTATTTTTTTTTTTTACTTTATATCATCAAACTTATCCAGGGATTCAGAATATAAGATCTGATTTTCTGATACAAAACCTACACGAGCCACGTCGACTCAATAATCATAATGCAGCTTTTAAAATCCATCCATTTTAATCATTTTCTCTCACCAACTAGTATCATCTTATCTTTTCAAATACACATAGAATACTTGTAGATGACGTAAGCTACTAAAGTTCCTCTACACAGTCCATACAACAAGAGAAATACACGGAACACAAAACAACAACAACAACCTCATGTGGCATTCGTGCTGAGAGAGAAAGGTCAACGCATGCAACTAATTCTACGGTTGGTTTGGACTTCGTCTTCCCTACGTGCAACTCTTGGGCCAAGAAGAGGAGAGGGAAGGATTTCATACTGAGGAACGGTAAGAGGGAGAGGGAGAGGGAGAGGAGAGGGAGAGGAGAGGGAAGGGAGAGGGAGGGTGGGAGGGAGGTGGGAGGGAGGAGAGAGAGAGAGAGAGAGAGAGAGAGAGAGAGAGAGAGAGAGAGAGAGAGAGAGAGAGAGAGAGAGAGAGAGAGAGAGAGAGAGAGAGGAGAGGGAGGAGAGAGAGAGAGAGAGAGAGAGAGAGAGAGAGAGAGAGAGAGAGAGAGAGAGAGAGAGAGAGAGAGAGAGAGACAAAGAGAGCGAGAGAGCGAGAGAGAGATGATTAGAGAAAGAGCAGGTCTGAAGGAAGTGGCAGGGCGCCTGTGGCTCTGCAGGAGCGCCAGAGACCCAGGGCGCCACGGGGAACGGCGTCACGGCTGCGGGAAACTGTACAAGGCCGCTCTGGACGCCGGGCGGAGGCGGGGACGGAGGCCACGAGGAGAGAGGCGGGACATCGAGGACAAGACAACGCACAAGGACGCTTCTGGACGAGGTGGACGGAGGACAAGAACGACTAGTTGCGAGGACGACTAAGGACGACACGGGGCGACGGGAAGGGTCGGCGGGGTGCGGGGGGGGGGGGTACGCACCTATCGTCACCCTCAGAGTGTCCCTCGGGACCGAAGGACGAGTACCGGCGATTCGTAAGGGGCAGGTTGGCGAGGACCTCCAGGAGGCCGGGCGGGAGCCGAGGGGGGGAGGGAAGGCGCCGGTGGCCGGGCGGCGAAGGCCGTGAACCCCGTGGCGCCGGCGGTGAGGCCGTCGGCACGAGGGCGGCCGTGGGCGGGCCGGTGAGGCCTCCGGCGGCGGCGCCGAGGGCCACGGGGATGGCCACCGCCGGGGGGATCGCGACGGCGGCGATGAGGGCCGCCAGCGCCAGGGCGCCCGCCAGCCAGCCGATCCAGGTCAGGTCCAGCACCTACGTGGACCGAATGGGGTCACTGCCTCGACCCAGGGCGACCAGGCTCCCCGGAGGAAGGAGGGAGAGGAAGGAGGCCCAAGGGGTGGCTCGCCGCCCGGGGGCGCTTGGGCGAGGGAAGGGCGGCCGAGGCCACTCAGGCGCCGCCCATCTCCTCCGCAGCGGAAACGAGACCCGAAGAGAAGCCACACCCGAAGACAGAGGAGAGGAAGGAAGAACGAAAACAGAAGAAGATACGTTTAAGCCACAGCAGTTGAACAGTATCACGTCATTCCTTTAAGTATAGCTCTCAGAAATTTCTCTAAGTTAGGTCATCTGTCATTAGCTGTCACGGGATGTCACCGAATGCCACGCGCAAAGTCAGCGAACCAGTCGGCCTCTGCCCTCAAGTCCTTGCTCTCTGATAATGAAATAACTGGATTTCACACCAACTTTGCGCATCACACCTTCGATCACACCTGTTTGCTCGGTTCATGAGGAAAGGTGTTATTGTGGAAATGTCGAGGGGGTTATTAAGAGATTTTTTTAATTAGGAATTTAATTAATCTTTGTGTGAAGGAAGAGAAGGTGGCGCGGAAATTCTTAAGAAAAGAAGACGAAGAAAAAAGAACATGCAAGAAGGATATGATTTTAAAGGATATTCAAGAGAATTATCGCTATTTAAAGATGCTGCTTTAAGATTAGAGGAAAGATTTATAAGAGAATGAAATGGATCATGTTTTATGGAAAAGCTGAAATACAAAAAGCACATTATCGGTGCAGAAAGTTTGACGTTTAATGGCCATGTAATTAATCACTTGTTAGGAGAATTATATTTTATCTTTTTAATTGCAAAATTGAATGGCATGATTTATAATGAAGTAAAAGCGTTTTAAAATGAAGCGCAGTTTATCCAAGCTGCAACCACATCCGAATCCATTCACACATCCACAAGCATGCAACCGAGCTTTTCCAGACTCAGCAACGGTTTCGAAATAGTCTGCATAAAATTTGCCGTAAAAATAAACATGAAAAAGAGATGAAATGTCCCGAGGCGATCATTGCTTTTAATGTCTTTTGAGGTTATTTATTTATATGTTTGTGTTTTTTACCTTGCCAAATGTGTCAGTTGAAGATAACTATGACATTCAGAAGTGTTTTCGTAGTTATGGTGTAGCTATGGAATTATCCACTGCGTTTATTTATGCAATGGACGAAGTCATCATAAAAAGAATATAAAAGGTGTTGTGTTTTATTCTTTTGAATCTGTGGAGCGTCTTGTCCCAGTCTCAGTCGAACGACACACACCTTCCAAGACGTCTGCAACCTCCAGCGTCAACCTAAGACCTTCAGATTCACCACCTAGGCCAACCACACCTTCCACACGCAATGCCACACTCATCCCCCTCCTACTCCCCCTTCAGGACACCCACCCGCACTCACTCACGGTGCCTCAGGACTCCTCGGGGACTCACCTGCACGGAGAGCTCGCTGGGGTCTCGTCCAGGCTGGTGCTTCCGCAGGAGCCCCCGCAGGCCCTGGACTCGTACACGGCGTCCTGTGCGTCTAGGACTCTGGCGGCGACCTCGAGGCTGTGGCGCGCCTGGGTGGTCCAGCTGGAGATCCTGTTGGTGAACCTGTTGACGGTGTCGCTCCATCTGCTGGGCGAGGGAGGGAGGTCAGAGGGGCGGCTGGGGAGGGGGGGCGTCGAGGCTGGAGGGGCTTCATTTTATTTTATTTTATTTATTTATTATTATTATTTTATTTATTATTATTATTCTTTTTTTTGGGGGGGGGAGGAGTTTGAGTTGATTTTTTCTAGCAAGGTTTTTTTTTATTCTAATTTAAACTTTCTTTCAATTTATAATGATTATTCTTTTTTTCATTTCATAACATGAACTCTTCTTCACGAGAAAAGATGCGACAAAAGCTCAAAATAAACGAGTTAATTTTTCTCTCTCTCTTCCCCTCACCAACAAACAAACAAACAAATATATAATAACAATAAAGAAGAAAAGGGGAGAGGTGCACGGAAGCCCTCACTCACCTCTGGTACTGCACGGAAGCCCTCACTCACCTCTGGTACTGCACGGAAGCCCTCACTCACCTCTGGTACTGCACGGAAGCCCTCACTCACCTCTGGTACTGCACGGAAGCCTCACTCACCTCTGGTACTGCACGGAAGCCCTCACTCACCTCTGGTACTGCACGGAAGCCCTCACTCACCTCTGGTACTGCACGGAAGCCCTCACTCACCACCTGGTACTGCGCACGGAAGCCCTCACTCACCTCTGGTACTGCACGGAAGCCCTCACTCACCTCTGGTAACTGGCACGGAAGCCCTCACTCACCTCTGGTACTGCACGGAAGCCCTCACTCACCTCTGGTACTGCACGGAAGCCCTCACTCACCTCTGGTACTGCGGGTACTCGACGCTGACGTAGGAGGAGTCGTATCCGTTGTTCATGAATCTGCCGATGCGATCAGCGAAGTCGTTGATGGCGTTGGAGAAGGGGTAGTACACGTAGTCTCTGACGGGGGCGACCAGGTACTTCCTGACGGGGGCGTAGAACCACTCGTCCATGGCGGGAGACACGTAGTCCCAGACGTCGTCGATGGTGCGAGCTGTCTCCTGGGGGGCGGGGGAGGAGAAGGGAAGGAGGTGTGAAGGGGCGCAGCTGGGCAGGAATCGTGTTTTTTTATTTTATTTACTATTTTTTACCTTTGATTATCACTTCTGCGACGGCTTAGATCTTATTAAATTTCTAACCATACCTGTCTACATCATTGCGTTTTGTTCTCATCTTCCTTTCTTTTATTTCTTTTAATCTACCTATTGCTCTCTCTGTACACTAACCTCATCACTCATGTCGGTGATATACTCCTTCAGGATCGTGTGGATCTGCGCGGCCTCCTTGCCCTCGTAGATGTCCTGCGCCGAGTCGAGGACGAGCCGGAGGTACAGCTGGGTCTCGATGTCGCCGTTGAAGCTGCTCAGGGAGTCGTCCAGGTAGGCGACGGCCTCGCGAAGGGCCTTGCTCTTCAGGATGGGCTTCACGGCCTCCTTCAGGAGCTTCATGGCCACGGCGATCTGCTTCTTGTCCATCTTGAAGGGCA